TTTTGGCCCGGCCGGGCAAGTGATCCCGGGCCTCTCTGGTAGCCTAGGTCATAAAAAAAATCCGCCGCAGCCCATGCCAAACTTCCCAACTGCCACCACAGTGACCAGGTTTTTCGTATTTAAACCTTAACAAAGAGATTTGTCACTGCTCAACCCTCCTAGTAGTAATGTATCCCTGTCTCTTATACACATCTAGATGTGTATAAGAGACAGGTACTAACCTGCGAATGGTGTCGCCTTGATGCAGGTATGGACACACAGAAGACGAAGCTGGAGCGCTGGAGCCGATAGGTAAGTCCTCAGGTAAGTCCCCTGACCTCCACCATAACCCAGTCTCTCTCTCTGAGGCGATGTACTGCAGCTGCGCTATGCTAGCGCTGAAGCCCTACTGCTGCGCTATGCTAGCGTTGGAGTCCTACCGCTATCGTCGACTACTACTACTACTGCAGCGTACCGCCACAATGCCTGAAGAATGAATGCTGCCTCCTAAGCGGACCAGCTATATAGAGAGCTGGTCCGGCTGGGAAGCTTCTCTCACCAATACCGAACGGCAAACGACGCAAGTATCTGGCGCCTAAGTTGGCGCCGAAATTCGAATCTTCGAATTTGAAAAGGCCTGAAACATCCTGGGCGCCTACTGAGCCTCTGCAGGGGTCAAGTGCGAAAACGGGTGCCAGGGCCTACCTACTGGGCCTACCGACCTACGGGGCCTACCTGGGCCGAAACGACAAAGGGCCTGAAGGGCCCCTACCCATACTGACAGTCTGACACAACACAGGGCCTGTAGGGCCCCCTACCTAACCCCTAACCTACCTGGTCGGACCCTACAGGGGCCCATGTGGAACTCAGAATGCCACACCATGCTAAGCTTCTCTTTATCAATCCTCCTGCTCTTTAAATTTGTTTGGTTCACTTTTCCGTGATCTGGGGCCAGGTCCCACTAGCGCCCATTCTCGATCTTTCGCCCTTCCATTAGGATGATCTACAGCCAGGAAAGGAGAATCCGTCCAACTGGGACACGGGCCCTCTAGTTGATGATCGAATACCTTTTTTGTACTTTGGTAACATACCAAGGACCTGGTCTGTCTTTCTTTCTTTCTTTCTTTCTTTCCTTTTATTTTTTTTATATATTTTTTTAACATACCTATGTCTGTTGTCCAGGCCAAGCCCGTCTGGATGTCTGGTGAAACCTAGACTTCGTGGAGGAGGACTAGGCTCTGTGTCCTAGGTAGGGCAGGATTACCTGGTTGTCCTCCCTGGGCCCTGGGCGTCTTGGGCCCTGGGCCCAAATAATAAAAAGATTTGCCTTCCACTCTTCTACTTTCTCTATGTTTCATAGAATTTGTGGTGCTTTTTTAGCTACTACTGTTTTATTTAGTATTCTTTTTGGTAGTAATGGATACACAAAAAGAAAAAGGAAGGAAAAAAAAAGGGAAGAGCAGCTTACTAGGACCATAAAATCGATGATATTGATTCTCAGTATTTTACTACCAGTCTTCCCTGAACATAACGCACTTTATCGGACGTATCGGACTGGAAAGATGGCGTGTATCGGACTGGAAAGATGGCATGTATACATTCAGAACATTCATAATCAGGGTGCGTTGTGCTGGGGGGAAGACTGCTGTATTTTCTATCCTCCTGGCCATGGGCCTCCCTCCACTACTAGCCATATGCACAAAAGACAAAACCTTTCCATGTCCTAGCCAAAGATTCATGAAATTTCTCATTTTGCACATGATTCCGTGCGCAGTGGAGCAAGGCGCCACAGGACACACTGTCAGTCAATTTTTTAAACTTTGAAGTTTAAAGTGCAAGTTGCAAACTTAGGATCGGCGGATAAATCGCAGACGAGGTAAACTCTCAATCCACCCATAATTGTTACTAGTATCTCCAATTCTCAATATTAAAGTTATTTTGAAAAAAAAAGTATATATATATATATATATATTTTATTTTATTTTTCACAAAAAAAAGGAGTATATAATATCATCACAGGCTGGGAAACGGGCCCAGCGTCCCTCACATCAATAACCACGGCCCGCAGAGGAAATGGAAGTGCAGCTTAATACTAGTACCAAGAAATAGGACCCACCCTAAATTCCTTAACAAAAAAAAAAGAAAAAAGGAGCAAGAAATAGACCATGGTAATGTTGACTGAAATTGATTCTCAGTCAAAAAGAACAAAACAAAACAAACCAGAAAAGATTCTGACTCAGAGAGTCTTTCACTACTAGTATATTTCACTACTACAGTCTTCCCCCGAATACAACGTATGGTCATTATAGCTGAATTTGGTGTATCTTGAAGTCTAAATTCAGCTATAATGACCGTACGTTGTATTCGGGGGAAGACTGTAGTATTTTACGACTTGTGCTACTACTAGTATTTTACTACTCGTGCTACTACTAGTATTTTCTTTGCTCCTGACCATAGCGCAGGGTCCAAGTGTGACATCTATGAAAGCTTAATATAGGATCAGCGCCGCACGAAACCTGGACGAGGTGAGCTCTCAATCCATTCTATATCGCCGCACGCAGGGTTGGACATTAACAAGGCCGGGTACAGAGCACTACTCTGCGGGAGATTACTAAAGGCAATCGGATACTCTCCTTTATAACTGACGTACGACTCCCAATCATTGGCAAATGTTAGCACCTTCATATCGTTATCGAATATGACGATCACCGACGAGCCCGCTCTATGAAACTTCTCAAACCCCGCATCCTTGACGAAATTGGGACGAATGTTCCAAGGTCGCAATACCGTTGGGTCACATAAAGAAGAGATCATCCAGTGGTAATCGCCAGCGAGTTTGTCGCCGGCGGCCGCAATGCCAACAGCAAAACACTCGCATTGCTTGACCATGTGGACCCTCCATACATGTTTTCCGGGAGGAAGACGCATCCGCATTCGGACCACCTGAGGCTGAATAGGATTCGGCCCTGGTCCGTTACACACACACCTGACTCGCTGAGGCGCATCCTCAAAAGCTGCAAAGTTTTTGGCTTTGGTGTCAGAGGACCAGACAGATGGAATAGGAAACTCGAGGTAGAAGTTGCGGACCTTGTGCTCGTCCGTTTTCAACGGTACCAAGGGCAGCTCTAGAAGCAGGGAACGCCACGGCATCGTGAATAAAGAACCAGACAGCTGCGTTCCTCTGGATAAGTAAAGGGCCTGCGCTCGGTATATAGCAGCGAGCAAGTCTGGCGGCAAGATCTTTAGGCCCTCTATTCGTGTCGTAATGAACGTTGGCTTGACGAAAACGAGGTTGATGTGACTTGTTAGAATCTCCCTCACGTCCTTCGTGGAGAGCAACCTGGCTCCGTCAGAACTGCCGGAGGTTTGCTCAGCTGCCTGATGCGGCCACTTCGTGGAGATTGTTGACGATTTTGTCGGTGGAGTCGTCGGCTGGCAACGAGCTCCGACACTCGTCTTCCTCAACGTTATGTACGGCGCTCGGTGCTGCGGCTGAGAGCACTGCCTCGGCGAGAACCATCTCCGTCACGCTCGGATGGAATTGCACGTTCTCTAGACAGAACTTTATGCTCTCTTTAGCCCACCCCACAAACGATGACGAGTCGAATACCACCACATTGTTTAGCGCCTTCACCGCAGCCCTTAGCACGTCTTGCGCCTGCTGTACGACAGCTGCATTCAGCAGGTCTCCAAGCTCCCGCGCATATCCAAACCGGGCTACCAACAGTAAGATCCTCTGGCACAACCCGCTTACCCCGCATCGTTCTGCCAAAAGGTAGGTGTCGACCATGCTCTCCCAACAACTATCGTCATTCCACCGAAACGGACAACCATGCAGATAGTCCACCACAACCTGAAGACTGCCGGCCCAGACGTCAGGAAGAGCTATCCTGTCCGTAAACCTCTCTTTCATATTCCCGTAAAGCAACTTAAAAAAGTACTCGCTCCCACTAGCTGTCAACGTTCGGTTTGCACGCACCTCGCGCAGGTCCTTGCAGACAAATGTCACATCAAGCATTTCCGAACGATCAATGATTCTCCCGACGGCTGCCATGAACCGCTGCCTGTGCCTAGTATCTTCCCTTTCCTCGTCCGATTGCGACAACGAAGGCCACAGAATAACTCCACAATCAATCGTCTTCATTATCGGAATGGTTGATTTTCCAGATAATATAATTATCTAGTAAATCCACTGCTTTTAAATTATAATTTATACTGTACTAAACTCATGATGCCGTGCTGTCATAACACCAGGTAAGCTGGCGCGATAACATTTCCCTATCCCTACGTATTGCTGAGCTGCATCTTTTTTTCTTTTTGCTAGTAGAGAGAATTTCAAGACAAAAGTCAGTGAAAAGCTGACCTTCCCTCTGTACCAAACTCTAAACAACACAGCCCAAATGCAGGTCATGCAAATGGAGCCTTATCCCCCTTGAGTTAAACTTTATTAATTTAATTTAATTATATGTATCATTGTATCTTCTTCAATGGTTCAAAATTCAAATACCAGCTGGGGCTGGTGAGTCAGAAGCTGATATCTCAAGGCCTTCACCCTAAGGCTTTTTAAAAAAACATAAAAAAAAAAAAAAAAAAAAAAACTGGAGAGCCTTATCCAATGGAACCACTATACAATTCTTAAAAAAAAACTAATCCAAATTCAACAAACTTCTCCAGTGATTCAAGTACCTGCTGGCAGTGCTGGTGAGTTGAAAGCTGGTATCTCAAGGCCTCACCCTTCAAAAACAACAACAACAACAACAACAACAACAACAACAACACATTATAATCCTGGAGAGAACTTATCCAATGCACCTACTATAGAATTATTCAATTATAAAAAAAAATTATCCAAACTAAGTCTTGTTAAAACTTATCCAATGGAGCTAGGCTCCCGGCCTCGATCTCTGTCTTGGAATATAATGAAGTGGATTAAAAAAAAAAAAACAAAAAAAAAAACCTTATCCAATGGAGCTAGGCTCAGCTAGCTATTCAAATTCATCAGAATAATTCTCATCGTCTTGACCGTATGCAATGCACCTAAATTAATATTCAATTTCAACCTTTTCGAAATTTATGAAGACATAGCAAAAAGCCAGTAATATTCAAATGCAACATCAAAATCCTGACGCCTAAGGCTACTTAAGCCAGTTGACAAAATATAATTTTTTGTCTTAAAACTCTTAATATAAGAGTCTTAACTATTAAGTTTTAATTTAACCAATTGAGTAAGAAAGAGAGAAAAAACTCCGAACACCACAAGGACCCTCGAAAACCCTAAACTGCAAAGTTTGTCTGACTTTTTCGTACACCGAATCCAGTCCGCCCACAGGTGAATATCAGATTCTGAAGTGCGAGGGAGGGAGGCAAAGATAGCAAACACATGGGACATTTCAAAAATTAATGCATGTCATGGAATTAAGGTCCTTCGGACTACTTCCCTTATGAATACCCAACAATGCGCCTTGTCGATTTTTTACTCGGCGCCTGAAAGCTTCGAAAATTAAGCGAAAGTCACAAACTGTACGCGATTACTCTGTTGACTTTCACTCGTTGACGATCATTCAAAGAATCTTCACTGAACCTGCAATGCAAAAGAATTGATTCAGAAGTGGTTGTAAGCTGAGGGAAAGAAGTTTCAAAAAAAATTCCAAAAATCGTGATATGCACCAAGAAGAAGCATTGCTCGTAAAAAAAAAAAAAAAAAAAAAAAAAAAAAAAAAAAACATTGCTCGTATCAACACCGCTAACATCCAAAAGGGAGTTTCAGTTTAAAAAAGAAGAAGAAGAAGAAGAAGAAGAAGCATTTGACAGACCCCAGCTAAAACCCCAACAATTCAGAGAGAGAGAGAGAGAAAATAATTATTTTAAATTTTAAATCTTTAATTTAATATGATAATAATGACAGGGGGACGAGATCGAGCTCTAACTTCCAAAAACAATTTCTTCATTTAATAATAATTAATAGAACCTAAGTTACCTGCAGTGGTGCACATTAAGTGACATGGGGGCATGCCTGCTGCACACAACAATATAATTTGACAATCATCATGGGGCAGGAAATGGCACCCAACGATCCGCCACTACTACTCCCTTCCGCAACCTTCCCCCTCCTCCCCCCATGTCCCCGGCCCCTCCCTGAATTACCGCCCCCACCCGGCGATCCTCACCCCGGGCCTGAAAAATCACAGAAAATTGGTTTATCAAATTATAAAAGCTTTTATATGACCACCCTGCTTGGTCTTGGTACTAGTAGGGGCTATCCCTGCGTCCCTTCCATCCCTCACCCCAGGTTAGGCCCGACCCTAGTGAGATATCAAGTCATCAGGATGCCTTCTCCTTGATGGAATAGGTAGGTAGGTAGTGAGAGCTATAATGTAGAGATACTAGAGAGGAATATAGAGTAGTTGCCAAAAAAAAAAATTATAATAATAATTAAAAAATATATGGGTCATAATCTAGGCTACAAGCCGGCCCGCGGGTCACCCTTTTTTCCTGGGGCGTGGTCTCACTAGCAAAGAGGATCGGATCGAATGCCTGAATCTGGACGAGTTTATGGAGAAGTGCAGGAAATCGGGATTGAACTGCTTTTCTGCATCTGTGCTTCAAGCCCATCCAGATTCAGGAGCTCGATCCTATCCTTTTCGCTAATGGGACCTCGGCCCTGGGCGGCCCAGCCGTGCAAGGACCAGGGAAGGTCCCAGGCTCCCAGCAAAAAAAAAAAAACAACCAACAATATTAAAAAAATCCGGAAAAAAAAAACGATGTTGCGCAGAAAAATAAACGGAAAGACTTTTGCCTCTGGGTCACATCGCTCAGTTGGTAAGGCACGCAAGTGGCATTCAGGAGGTCTTGGGTTCAATCCCCATTGGCCTCATGCACCTTCCTGGGCAAGCTTAGCGCCCGCCACCTAGAGATACGCCGTTGGTCCCCCCAAGTGGTATTGAGCAGAGACTGCTGATGTTCATAGGGGGAGGGGAGGCACAGTGACTGGCCCATCGAAGAAGCTCGGTCCTGATGCTACCGGCTGACCCCTGGCC